TCTAATTTTCCTTTGATGTACTTTGTTTTGAATGTTTCTGATATCATAAGGCAGTTGGTTCCATATCATGCGTCCACATGTTAGTGTCTGTCGTGCCCCTATGTCTGTACGTGATCTTTTAATATATAGGGAGTTACCTTGTATTGTTTGGACACAAACAACAAAGGGTTGTGTTACCTACAGTTGAAAGGGTTAAAACCCATTTTGGGTAAAAACCGTGGATCATTTTGTGAATTAGTATGCAGGTATCATAGCTGCATTTGTGATGTACTTTTAGCCAACTTAGTTTGTTTATGTGTGGGGTAATGTGATCATACTTCTTTACGTTCCCAAGTGCTACCCTGGCAGGAAAGTTTTGGAATTTTTTAATTTTCTGAATTTGACCTTTGTTGTACCCCATATATTTGAGCGATAGTTACTTATACTGAGAACTAGTGTTTGTATAACAGATATTCTAGTTTCAGCAGGGATTCTATTTTTGATATGACTTAGGTAAATTACTGTGCCCATTACTTTTCTGTGGATGTTATCGACGTGGTTCTCGAATGTCATGAATCTGCCAATAAGTACGCCTAGTTTTTTTTTTTTTTTTTTTTTTTTTTTTTTTTTTTTTTTTTTTTTTTTTTTTTTACAAAGTGCTAGGTCTTATGTAACTGTCTTCAAATCTTATGGTCGTGTTTACAGGAATTTTGGCGATGTTCTGGCGACTACCTATGAAGACACATTGTGTCTTATCTGGATTTATCTTAAGGCTATTTGTGTCGAAATATCCTTTTACTTGTGAAAGTGTGTCCTGGGTCTTTTATATCAGTGTAGGTTGTTTACAGAATCACTATGGAGAAATTATGAATCATCAGCGTATTGAACGAGAAGGCAATTTTGAGCCTTTTTTTGGTTAACAGATCATTTACAAATATTATGAACAGGATTGGGCCTAATATAGATCCTTGTGGGACACCAAAGGATACACTGTTTTTTCTGATATATTCTCGCGAATTTTGACTGATTGGGTTCTATTACTTAGATAACTTCTGAACCAATATGTGTCAATTTTGTGATTCATAGTTTACTAATGAGGATTTCGTGATTGACACTATCAAAGGCCTTTGATAAGTCGCAAAATATAAGCTTATAAGTTTATACGGTTGTTGTCTATATTCTCACAATTATTTGTAATCTGCAATAATGCTGTTTCAGTGGACAGCTTACTTCTGAAGCCATGCTGTGTTCTAGATAGTAGGTCGTGTGTCTCAAGAAATGTTGTCAGTCGTCTGCTACGATTTTTTCGAGAACCTTCGACAGTATAGGAAGTATGGTAATAGGGCGATAATTATTAACTTCGCCTTTGTCGCCATATTTGAAAACGTGTTATTATGCCATGCTTCCAGAGCGATGGGAATTCACCGGTGACCGGAGATGTATTAATGATAACCGTTAAATAATACGCCACAGCAGGTAGGCTGTCTCTAAGGAAGCGAAGAGCAATGCCATCCACCCCCACAGACTTTGTTTCACGCAGGTGTTTTATTGTCAGAATTGTTCATATGTGGAATGTCCAGTTTTAGCGAACTCATTTAATATATTTGCACTAATTTTGGTGTTTAGATTATCTTTATGATTTTTTTTTGTTTGGTACGTGTTTTTAAAATCCATGTTTTAGCTGAATCTTTTTTACAATTTTTAATCTATTTCTAAAATAATCAGTTTTGGATTCTTGTATTAGCGATTTCACATTTCTCTTTCTTTGTTTATAGTGAGCCTGGAGTGTCATGTCGTAACTGTTATTTTTGAGAGCGTTGTGCACATTATTTCTATCTGGGCTTTCTTGATGCCGTAGTTATCCAAGGGGCCGGAAGACGTTTAATGATTTTTGTAACAATGGGGCGATGGCATTTATACTATCATTGATCACTTCCGTGAACACATTTACCTGCTTGTCTACGTTATGTTTGCAAAATTTGTAAAAGAGATGATTCTCTGGCTATTATGAGTTGACATATAATTGAGAATCATAAATGGCTAATTCACGAAAGCTTTTTGTTATTGGTGGTCGTTTTGACTTCTTTATATTTAGTGTCACCGTTATGAGTTCGTGGTCGGTAACATGGCATGGAGTGACGTCTGTGTGGAGGACAATGTTAGCTCTGTTTGTTATAATTACAATTAATGACGATTTATTTTCTGTGATTCTGGTAGGTTTATTTACGTTGTTCAAATTTGTTTTTATTAATTTAGTTAATTTTGAATTTGGCCAAGTATGAAAAGAGGTTTCTTTTTAAATTTCTCTAAAACCTTTTTCTAAATAATCAAAAGATTCAGAGGAACCATGAGGACGAGAGAGAGGAGAGAGAGAGAGAAAGAGAAAGAGAGGGAGGGAGAGAGAGAGAGAGAGAGTGAGAGTGCGTGTGTGAGAGAGAGAGAGAGAGGAAGGAAGGGAGAGGGAGAGAGAAGCGGAGGACGAGAAAGAGAGAGAGAGAAACGGAGGGCGAGAAAGAAAGAGAGGGGGAGAGAGAGAGAGGGGGCAGGGAGAGAAAGAGAGAGAGAAAAAAAAGAGAGAGAGAGGAGGGAGAGGGAGAGAGAGAAAGAAGAAAAGTGTGGGATAGGGAGAGAGAGAGAAGGAGAGAAAGAGAGAGAGAGAGACGGAGGGCGAGAAAAAGAGAGAGAGACGGAGGGCGAGAAGAGAGAGAGAGAGAGAGGAGGGAGAGAAGAGAGAGAGAGAGAGAGAGAGAGAGAGAGAGAGAGAGAGAGAGAGAGAGAGAGAGAGAGAGAGAGAGAGAGAGACGAAGAAAGGGAGAGAGGAGAGAGAGAAAGAAAAAGAGAGATAGAGTGAGAGAAAGAGAGAGGGAAGGAGGGAGAGAAAGAAAGAAAGAGAGATAGAGAGGGAGGGAGGGAGAGAGGGAGAGAAAGAAAGAGAGATAGAAGAGGGGGAGAGAGAAAGAGATAGAAACGGAGTGCGAGAAGAGAGAGATGGGGAGGGAGGGAGGGAGGAGAGAGAGAAAGAAAGAGAGAGAGAGAGGGAAGGAGGGAGAGTGAGAAAGAAAGAGAGAGACAGAGGGAAGGAGAAGAGAGAGAGAGAAGAGAGAGAGAGAGAGAGAGAGAGAGAGAGAGAGAGAGAGGAGAGAGAGAGAGAGAGAGAGAGAGAGAGAGAGAGAGAGAGAGAGAGAGAGAGAGAGAGAGAGAGAGAGAGAGAGATAGTGAGAGAGAGAGAGAGAGACGAAGAAAGGGAGAGGGAGAGAAAGAGAGAGAGAGAGACGAGAGAGAAGAGAAAGAGAGAGAGGAGATAGAAAGAAATAGAGAGAGAGAGAGAAAGAAGAGGAGAGAGGGGGTGGGGTAAAGATGAAGACGGAGGGAGACGACCCGAAAATGAATTCCGAAATCATATTCGAAGGCGCCTCGGAGCGTCGCCGTAATGAGCGCTGGCCCATGGGAGCGCCCGACGCCCGTGCAGAGGCGTAAATTCCCCAAGGCCAGGTAACTCTAGGAAGGTTCACGGCGTCATGGTTGGACATAAGTGCGATGGGTGACATTTTTTTTTATCACCACAGTGTGAACAATACATGCCTTAGTTCTTTTTTTCTCCTTTGAATGTTCAATGTGAACTGTCTAGGAGTGCAAGAGCATTGAATCATTATCATATATTTCTGTGCTGCCTCTGTGTGCGTTTCTGTTTGTATGTGTGTGTGTGTTTGTGATGTGTGTGTTTGTGTGTGTGTATGTGTGTGTGTGTGTATGTGTGTTTGTGATGTGTGTGTGTGTGTGTAGAGCGTCATTCAGTATCATTGAAACTTGCACTGTGATTTATATTCCCATTCATTTTTAAAGTATTGAAACAGTCATTTGTAAATAATAATTTATTTAAATGACACTAGATCACATATTTTATATCGGTCAATTGATGTGTTTCTGCTCCATATATTTTGATGGACAGCTTCTCTTCCTTACGTGTTGAGAGAGGCTTTCGGAAGCAGCATTGCCAACCGACCATTCATTTCCTAGTTGGTAACGCTTCTGGGAATACTGGATAGACCGAGGGGCCTGAGGGTACAGGAGGGTTCACTTACATGCTTCTTAAGCATTTTCCCAAGTGTCAACCTGGCCTTCCTCCCCGTGGCTCACTCGCCCTTAAGCACACTCAGGCGCCAATTACCCCTTCAGGAGGCGAGATGCGGCTACGTCATCCTCGTCATGGCCGTGTACTGGATGACGGAGGCGATTCCCCTGGCCGTCACCGCCCTCATTCCGGTGTTCGCGTTCCCGCTGCTGGGGATCCTGTCGACGGGGAAGGTGTGCCTCGTCTACATGAAGGAGACCAACATGATGTTCCTGGGAGGCCTCACGGTCGCCATAGCCGTGGAGCACTGCAATCTGCACAAGAGGATTGCGCTCTTCGTCATCCTGCACATTGGTACGTCCCGTTAAGGCTGATACAATTGTTGTTACGTTTTCCTCTAGTTTTTATATCGTAGGATACAAAAGTAACTTTTTTATATCACAGTTATTAAAGTAATTAACACATCATTTAGTTAGATTTTTAAAATTTATTTATTTATGCAGATCCAAGGTAGTATCATCGTCCACTACAAGTAGCTGCTGACAGAAATACTTAAATAGTTCTATAACAAAGTCCTTATTATCTTGAAATATTGATTAGATGAATTCAAAATACATCATTCATCAGTTGAAGTCCTCATTCATCAACATTACTATCATACAAAGGGATTTGGATCATGCAATCTTATCAACATTTTACTTACGGCATGGCGGTACTGAGACGGATCTCTGCGTCCTGAGCCCTGTCCTTTGTTTGCTTCTTTCTCGCGAAACACGGTCCAAGCCTCTGTCTTCCTTCCCGCTTTGCTCGATTCTCAAATCCTCAGTCCATCTACTGATAGTGATGATGTCGTACGTATTATTCAGGATACGCATGTTTTACCAGTTATGATTTTTTTGCGATATATTAACCCAGTGCAAATGAGACTATCATCCTTATTTTATGGAAA